CATTGCCCTCTTCATACAACTTCTCCCAATCTTAATGTCTCAGCGTAGATGTTTCCTCTACAGAGAATGTCACCCAACCAGTTTATCTTTATACAGCTTCTTCTCTTCTCTTCTCTTTTCTGCTCTTCTCTGCTCTTCTCTCTCTCTCTCTGTCTCTCTCCCTGCCCCCTCCCTCCATAGTATTCTTCATAATTTTAAATGAAAATTTTTGTGTTTACATGTTTACTGTCTAAGCCTGTGTCTTGCTTTTTATTGTTATGCTAAGACCCCATGACCAAGACAACTTATAGAAGAAAGAGGTTTTTGGGCTCACAGTTTCAGTGGGTGAGCCATGACTATAAATGGCCCAGACTTGGAGCGGAGCAAGAGGCAAGCAGGCACATGCTGAAGTAGTAGCTGAGTGCTTATATCCTGATCTACAGACACAAAGCAGACATAGAGAAAGCTAAATGAGAATGGTGAGGGCTTTCAAAATCTCAAAGCCCATCCCAAGTGACACACCACCTCCAACAAGGTCACACCTTCTAATACTCCCCAAACAGTTCTACCCATGGGGCAGGTAGGGGTGGAGAACTGAGTATTCAAGTACATGAGCCTATACTAGTCATTCTCACTAAAGCCACCGCAGCCTGTAAATTACAGGAGAATCAGTCTGTCATTAGCTTATTTTACTACCTAGTTACTGCTATATCTAGACTATTTACTTTTAAAATGCACAACAAATGAATGATATGGAAAAAATAGCATCTGCAAGCCACATAGCATTCCTCACACACTTTTAGTTCCAAGAGTATAGTAGGCTTTCCTGCATAATTCATACCCAGTGCCATTTGATGCATGGCTTATAGTTACTCTGGGTGTCAATCTCTATATTACTCTGACTCACTTTTTAGTCACAGTCCCTAATTGCGTATGTTAATTAGAAGACCATGTTGCCTGTGTGCATATTAGTTCTAGTCGTCTTGATGACTACTGAGAACATTCACATGGCTCTGGCCCAGACACTTGGGCAAACACACTTTGATGCCCATAAAGGTGATAAAATAAAAAGAAGGAATATGACTGACAGCTCCTTGGCATCTTCTACATATGGGGGTTATTAAAGAAGTGATTATTCCACTGGATGCTTAGGTGGAGTTTATGTTTCCTCTAGCATTGAGGTCTTCATTTACATTTCTTTAGTCCCCCTACTGAATTCTGGTCTTTACCAGAAGAAACAATAGGATGAAAATCTTTGAGTTATCTGAACTCCAAACTAAGCCCCTGACCTGTTTACTAAAGCAGGAGTTCAGTTTTTTGTTTTTTTTTTTTTGAAGAGGTGATTTGTTTTGTTTTCTTGGTGATGGCTCTCATGATAATGCTGGTCCAGAGACTGGAAGACTTCCTGTACCACCACGCATCTCAGTGGAGTGCACCAAATTGCACTGTTCTTCCCTAGTTTTCAGTTCAAAGAAATATAAAAAAGCAACTCAAGAAAGATGCAGTAACAATTAAGTTCAATGTTCATGGAATGCCAGATGAGAAATCTTGTTACCAAAATCTCTCCCCCTCTCTCTCACTGGCACTCAGCTTTTCCCAGTAATATGAGTTGATTAAACTAGATGTTAAGTCTTGTGTAATGCCACCATTTTCAGAACAAGAACAAAAGAATTCATTGACAAAATTGCACTATAATAAATGTCAAAAAAGTTATACAGATGAAATAACAATATTACAAGTGATATAATATCATTTGAACATAGGCTGTGGTAAGTTAATGTTATACATTATAAATCTTATAGAATAACAATAAAAATAAAGTAGAATAGTTACCCTCTCCATGTAAAATTATAAAATACTAAACTTAAAAATGATCTCAGAAAGAGAGAAATATGGAAAGAAGATGTAGGACAAATAGGAAATAGTAAGATGAATTCAAAGACACCCTCCACCAACAATTACATTCAATGTAAGTGGTCTAATTACTATGACTAAAAAGCAGAGACTGGGTGTGGAGTGGTAGCTCAGTTGAAAAATGCCTGACTTGAATATGCAATGCCCCAAGTTCAATACCCAGCACCACCAAAATAAAAAAGATGATGATTATGATGCTAAAAATGCATATTCAACTAATCTTTTTAAAAAAAACAGAGATCATAGTGAGACTATGTCTACTGATAATACATTTTTAAAATGTGGTCATATATAGTAAAACAAAACATTAGATAACCATTTGCCATGAAAATACAAGCAATAAGCAAACTAGAGTGACTACATTGCTATTAAACAAAATACACTGCAAATTAAAACTAACCAAGATAATGAAAGCATTTCTCAGTGATGAAAGGACTGATCATCAAGACAGTCCTGAGTGATGGCTCACCTTCATTGTCTATTTTCTTGGGTTCTGGATCATGGAAGAAATTGCAGAAGTTCACCCACTGGGTGCATCTGTGAAGACCTTTCCAGGAAAACATAACTGAAGAGAAAAGGCCTACCCTGAGTGTGTGTGGAATCATCTTATGGGCTGAGGACCCTGACAAACTCAATGGTATAAAAGAAAGATGGCATCCAAGAGCAGACATTCCCTTCTCTCTGCATCCTCTCTGCTGTGAAATAAACCAGTCCTCTCTACTCCATCATTCTGCCCTGCTGTGATGTGCTTAACCCTCTGAAATTTTTTAGAAAAATACAATATTTTCCCTTGAGTTGTCATTTTGTCATAATGTTGATAAAAAGTAACCAATCCAGTTTAATCATCTCTCTCTCTCTCTCTCTCTCTCTCTCTCTCTCTCTCTCTCTCTCTCTCTCTCTCTCCTTTTTTCCTTCTCTCTCTCTTTCTCTTCCTCCATTCTTCCTTCCATCTCTCTCTGTCTCTCTCTCTCTGGTGTGTGTGTGTGTGTGTGTGTGTGTGTGTGTGTGTTTAACATGGCACGTACTAATAGAACTGAAGCAGAGATAAGAAAACCCACAAGAATAATTGAATATTGTCCCCTCTCTTAGTCAGTGATAGAACAAAGATGAAAATTTAAGCCTCAGGTTGCCCAACTTGACTTGATTTGTCTACAAGTTTGTATACTGAACAATATGGAATACTGGCTAATGCTGCATTCTTAGCCATTAAAAAAATCTCAATAAATTGAAAGAATTTCAAATTTTAAATAAGTTTTATAACTTACACATATCAAAACACAACTTACTTGTATAAAACATGTACTAGAGAGTCACTGGGCTTGCTGCTAATTGTAGCTTCCTTCCATGGCATTAAGATTTTATACAAGTCTTATTTCTCTCAAGATAGGATAATAAGCAAATGTTAAACGTAAGCTTACAAAGTAAATGTGCACCATTAAACACACACACGCACACACACACACAAACACACACACCCCTTCCATGTTAAGGCTCTTGTGGAATTTTTATTTGGGGTTATAAAAAAAAGTGCTGTTGCTAAAAACCCCACAAAAAGTTGAAATCTCTAATTGATCTGTATAAATCTGCAAGAGCCAAGCCAATTGGCACATTATAAATTTCTTCTTTCTGATTGCTGTCAACCATCCAAACAAATGGCAAAACCAACAATCACAATCATTCAGTCACTATCACTGGGAGTAGCTCTTAGTGAATGCTCACTAAGTGGGAAGCATTGTTCCATTGTTCTAGGTACTTCCAGGCATTTAATCCCTGCTCTTATTTTCCTCCCACTTTACAAGTGAGTGAAATGAAGCCCTGAACGGTTACGCAATTTGTTCAAGATCAAACAACTATTCATAGTAAATGCCACACTGGGATTTGAACCCCGGGGAATGATTTTGTCATGTAACTTTCTATTTTCGAAACCAACGTCAGAAGCACAGGCGGTGAACACAAGAGCACCATCATTTCTCCCTCAGCACTTTGTAAAGTGATGAACTGGATCTCTTCTGCCTTGCCTTGAATTTTGCCTCTTCACTGATCTGTCTTGTTTGATAAGTTCATCAAACATCAAGACTCTGTTCGTTTTCAGAAAGGATTACAGTGATAAGCTTTTATAATTGAGAGTATCTCAACCGAGATTTCCTTCACCACCGACCTCGTGCCTGTGTCTTCTAATTAGTAGTGATGGATTTTATGATGTTTCAAGAGTGTATTTGTTTTAAATACAAGTTACAGATTATCTCCTTGTAAAACACGTTCCCCCCTTCTGAACTGTTACTTAAAGGGGATCGTTCTTACTCTAGCATTTAACAATACTGATTGAAAATTGAGTCAACTAATAGGAATTTGAATAAAGTAATTCTATTTAAAAACCTCCAATGTTTGAGAGACAGAGAGTGCTTAAGAGCTATCCCAAAAGTGAGATTAAGGTGTCGTTTAAGAACCACAAAATAGTCAATGGAGAGATATAAACAAATGAAGACAGGTTGGAAATCTCAGAAAAATAGAATAGGCAAAATGCTATAGACATGGGAAATTATTACCTCTGCTATCACTCCAGAGCAAAGATTTGGAATGACATGGCTGTGTCTCTCTATAGTGTCTTATTTCCCCTTACAAAAATATTTGCATATATTATCTAAATATATCCTCCTAACCAGTATAAGGTAGAATGAATTTTTACCATTTCCTTCTATAGATAACGAAGTAGAGGTTAACTGCCTCACATTCCTTGAGGAAAAATACTATTTATTAAATATCTACTGTATGCAGGGGACATTTTAAATCTGGACTTTATTACATCCACATTAACTGTTATAGAAGAGGTATTATGAGTCTCAGTGTACAGACACAAAACTGAGAATCAGATAAATTGAATGATTTATTCTGGATTACCCTAGCGCTGAGTACTAGAGTGGTAACTTATAACTGGATGGATCAGATTACTACTAACTGGCTTGTTCCCTGTTCCATCCCCTTTACTGGATTAGTAACAGTGTGAAAAGAAGTTATAGCCTATGGCAACACAGCCCATGCCGACATTCACGGTGTCTTAGTCCCCCAGCAGAGGATCCCAGGTTTACAAAGACCTGAAGCCCACTTACTTGTTCACCTTCTCTTGTGCAGTAACCCCGGGGTGCCATGCCATCAAAGACAGGCCAAAGAAAGCAACTGCAAGCATGTCATCCAGAAGTCACCAACTAGCATCTATGTAAAAGAAGAAAATAGCCTACTTTAGGAGCTATAGATACTGTCAGGCTGTAACTCCAAACATCTATCAGATGTTTAAAATGGTCAGAAGTTCCTCAGTTCCCCTTCAGTGTGATTAACTAGTAACCAAGGTATTGATTAGCTAAACACCATCAAAACGGCTCCAAGCCCTTTAGCCCTTTTTGGAAAATACCCATGTGGCTAGGGAAAGGTGATATTTAACTAAAATCAGTTCAATAAAGAGTTTTCTCTTTATTGCATCTCCAAGGTGCAGTTGCAGGAGTCCCAGTGCTTTCTAGTGGCTCTTGGAGCTTCTGAAGTCAGATGAGTCTGTTGTTCAAGACAGCAGCAAGGCTCAAGGCGAGCATCCAGAAAGGTGCAGGAATCTTAACAGTTTTGTAGAGGTTCTGCTCTATATTACCAAACATCTGGATCCTGAGAATGAATGTGATTCACTGGACTCTACTTTCTATACAAACACTGTATAATTAAGAACCAGCCCATTTATGTCTTGGGGGGACCAGATGTCTGAAATATACTTCTTTTTTTTTTCCTGTTATGTATTTTATTTATTTTTTTTAAGATGTCAGAATCCAGACTTTATTTTTTTTCCAGTTTAAATTTAGATAAGAAACAAGGTTGCTTCACAAATCAGTTCCAGGTCCCTCTCCCTTTCCCTCCCCTCCTCCCGTGCCCTCATCCCAACCCCCCCCCATTATCCCCTCATTCCCCCAGGGAGGGTGAGGCCCTCCATGGGGGTGTCCATAGTCTGTCATTTCATATAGGGCAGGGCCTAGACCCTTCCCTAAGAGTTCAGGGTGAGAGTGCACCTCACATTGTTCTATGCTTCTTAAACTCTCTGGAATTATAATGCCAATAACAGCCACCACATCTGCACAGAAGATACCATACCTGGATATAATCTCCAACTCTTTCTGACATTAATTAAACCAAGTAAATAGAGATGGAAATAAGATAGATGAGCAAATAGTCAAAAGCCATTGAATACTACTATATGATAGGAACTAAATATGTCGTGTTGTTTTTAATCTTCAATCAAGAAGTCTGCCACATTGAAAGTACTAAATCCATACTTCCATCAAAGAAGTGGGAGCTCATGTCAGTTAACTAAGTGGCTCAAGGACTCACAGTTGTCTTGCTATGCTTGCAGAGGTGTAAATTTGTCTTGGTAGGATTAAGCAGTTATATCATTACTGACCTTAATGGGGAAACACATGACTAGCTTGAATGCCTGAGACATGTATATCTGATTCATATGTGGAAAAGTCAGAAAGACAGCCAGTAGTGGCTCCTTTCCTCTCCTCAGAAGCATAGGCAAAACTTGGCAGACGTGAGCACCAGTTCTGAATGCTGGAAGGACCCTAAGACTGTGTCACTGCGTCTCCCGATTCTCTTCAGGTTTGATTCCCACATCTTCCCAGCCTCAGTTCTCCCATGCGTATACACTATTTGGAAACTTTTTCTTCTTTTCCACCAGAAACCAAGTTGGCATTTTCTGTGCTGGGTCTGTAAATATGGAGATGGGAGTGTTACATCTGGACCTCAGGGTTGTATCTGACCCACCTTTCTCCTAACCCCCAATACCCAGTATATGACAGTTCCTGTCTCAGACAGGCAGAGCTCCCTGGGACTGGAACCATTTCCACAGATTTCTTCAGGCTGAACAGACCTCCTTTAGCACTGTCTTCTCAAGTAGAAGTGACAATGCCCTCCAAAGGCCACTTGATAGTGCCCAAGGATGCTTGTGATTGCTCATGGGGGTGCTACTGGAATCCAGTGGATAGAGGAAGGGGATGTAATTAAATATCCCACAATGCACAGGGGTCCCTACTACAGAGAAAGATATCTAACCCCACATGTCAATAGAATCTATGTGGGATCACTGTCTACAAGAGTCTGGCCTGCCTTCCTCTTCCCTGAATCCTGGGTCCCTCTTTTTACATGTATGATGATGGCATGTTTTCTTTAGTCCATATCCCTCTTAAGTTTACTTGGTGACAATTCTACCTACCCCAAACCTCAGTGAAATTCAGGATTTGTGACTGGCCCTTAGCCACCTCTCCCCCACACCCTGCAATGCTATCATTTAAATTATATTGCTTTCCTCTGTAATGTTCCCTACTTGTTGCTTTATCTCACTACCATAAACCATCCCAGGCTCCATTCCATTCCCTTCCCCCCTAGAACTCCAAACAGACTCCTGGTGGCTGCATTTCTCCTCTCTCCACATCAGGGCTGAGTTCATCTTCAAGAAAACGGAAGCTGCCACCACTCCCCTGCTCCAATGCACGTGTGCTAACTAACACTTGCACTAGGAAGAGCTCTGCTTTAGGACCTACTGCCACATATGAATCCTTATGCTAGGACATGCCACTCAATGCAAATTAGGGTTTATTCCCCAGGCTCCCCACTCCTATCTATTTCCTATACTCTGGAATAAAGCTAAGCTGATTCACAGAAGTCATCTCCTGGAGAGCTGTCTCCATCATACCCACAACCATCTGGTCCCTGTTTCCCACTTCTGCTCTCTCCACACTTGTGGACCAGAGCACCAGCGATCTGGAGGAAGACACAAAACCACACAAGAGCATTGTGAATCCTTCTCCTATTGTTTACTAGAGTGTAGACACTCTCTGGAAAGTGAGCCTTACGTGGGTAGGTTCTGTACCTGAGTTTTCCTTATAAACGCTCATTCCACTCAGTACTGGAACTTCAACATGAACTATTGATGCATGGCTATCAAATATTCCATTAAAGTAGATGGTTCTCATAATACTCACATTTTAATCCTTTTACCTTCAAAATTATCCTTGTATTATTTCATTTTGTGTATGTATGTGCATGTGTGTGCTCGTACATGCGTGCGTGTGTGTGTGTGTGCGTGCGTGTGTGTGTGTGTGTGTGTGTGTGTGTGTGTGTGTGTATGGGCACATGTGTGGAGATCACAGAACAACTTTCAGAAGTTAGTTCTCTCCTTCCACCATGGTTCCTGGTGATTCAATAAGGCCTTTCACAATAAACTCCTTTACTCACTGAGGCACATTGCTAACCCCCTCAAAATGATCCCTGGAAGTTAGAATAACTAAGAACTATGGAGTACTAGCTCCTGTGCCTGCCACCCCCCCCACCTCAATCCTCACAGCAGTCTTGCAATGCCAGGAATACTAATATAATTTTAGAAATGAAGACGCCAAGGTTTAGGGTGGGTAAACAGATCGGCTACAATCCCTCACAGAGTGAATCTGAATCATGTATGCATAATCTTTCCATCACTGAACCTGAGATTGTTTGGATCTACTTGTACAACTACGAAGTGTCATGCCAGGCTAAGGCTACATCTTCCAGCACCAAGCCTGCAACTCCATTTATTATGCGTGAGCAGAAATTAACATTATTTTCAGGGACAAAAGATCCAAAATAAAATGAATCATGGATGGAATTAAAGTAGCTATTCTGGACTGTATATGGTGGCGCACTCCTATTAATCCCAGCACCCAGGAAGCTGAGGCAGGGGAACAAAAATTCCAAAGCAAGCCTTGGATGCATAAGGATACCGTATCTTAAAGGAGAGAGGTGGGGAGATCATGAAATTGTGTTCTGCCTCTATGAGAGAGTGTGTGTCGAGCACTGGGATGGGGGCACCCATCTGCTTCAGCCAAAATTTTCTAAGATGAATGGAAAATGTCAAAAAAATAGTTAGGTTTGCATATTTGAATTTCACCTTAATTGTACCAGCCTGCTGTCAGTGATAGTTGTAAACTACTATGCAGAATCAACAGTAAGATGGTAATTCATTTTGAAAATGCATTGCCTGTCTTGTAAAAACACTCTTCACTATTGAAATCAGCCTGTGAGTTATGGCCTCAGAACAGAGCATGCCCGGTGCTGGCTCCTGCAGCTGCACGCATGACACCTGCACTTGCGCTGTCTGTGGAAAGCTTTAAAAGTTCTGCACAATCCCCTGCTGCCTTTGCACTGTCACACAGGAGATCCGAATCTGCAAACCTAATGCGAAAGGAAGCAATTCCCTGGGGTAGAAAGAACACAGCATTAGGTCAGAAAGTGCTGCTAACCAGTTACTATCTCCTAGCTTTGGCTTCATCATCCGTAAAACAGATAAAATAATGTTTTCCTAATGGGACAAGATTAAACACCAAATGAGGGAATCTGTTCACAGCCGGGCACTTTGAACAGCTGTTTCTGCCTTGTTGAAACAGTGACTTCCATTCTCTGGGTCTGTTTTTCTTCATTTATATGCGTGGGAGATTTCCTTCAAGTACAGAAGCTAGGGATGAGGGCAGAAAGCCCAGGGCTGCCAAAGGAATGGTCAGAGGAGGGTAGAGTGTGGGAAGTCCATACCTAGGCACCTTGGACTGAGTCTGACTCCCCTGGAGGGTAGATGCTACCAGAAAGAGCTGGAATAATTCCAAATACAAAGAAGGAGGCCAGGGAGGGCAGGTCAAACCCCCCATCTCAGCCTAAGCTCCAATAGTACCTCCAGGCTACACAACTGGGAAGGACCCAGAATGACAACTTCAATCTCCCAATGGCCACAGAAAGTATGTTTCCTCCCAGGAGCATACTACTTGGTATCAATATGGATCATCAAGCACACAGCTTTATGTGGGGATTCACTAGTGCTTCTGGCAAGGGTGTGTGTGTGTGCGTGCGTGCGTGTGTGTGCGTATGTGTGTGTGTGTGTGTGTGTGCCACAATACTCTAATTTCTTGGTGCCCAAAAAAGACAACCCAGTACCTGGCACCGTCTGCAGACAGTAAGTAAACATGCCCCGCCCACTGCCTTCACTACTTCCTCTCTCCTCCTTTTATAAATCCCATCTATTATATCTGTTTTCTTCCTAATTACCTCACCAGTTCCTGGCTGCAGCCAAAACACATTAGTGGTAGGTTTTCCACTGGAAATGAAGTGGGGCTGAGTTAAATAATTGGT